GCGTGGCTAATCTCGGATACTGTAGGACAATACACTGCTTACATACGGCGGCAAAACAAAATGACTACAAATAAGATGTCGTCCAGCTAGAACTGTAGAGACGAGCTTTACGCCCTTTAACCAAGACAGAATGGACGAAGGGACGACAGCATAGCGAGGTACAAGACAACGACGACGGCCAAGTTCAGTCTGACAGCTCAGAGCTGTTCAGGCAGTAGCGGCCACAGCGTAGCTAGCTAGCTAATGTTATACAGCAGCAGAGCTAGCCAGCCATGGAGACCGATTAACGTGTCTGACAGTATAATGACTGACTCATGGGCTGCATAACGGAGATGGAAAGTCCTAGGAGAGGGCCATCTAGTCCTAACGCTAGAAGCTAGCTTAAACAGCTAGCTTAGCGTTTATAAACCAAGCTGGTTAGCCGGCTAGCCATAAATCAATAGAGTCGACAGGGTGAGCGAGGCACGAGCTGTGATCGTTGTAAGATACTCCCGAAACCCTAAGAGACATGGTTAAAGCTTTCAGACCTTCAGTTTTAGCGCAGTTTATAGTGCCACTCTCTCTCTCTCTCTCACACACACACACACACACACTCACGTCTCTGACACATGCGTACGGAGCGGCATGTGTGTGTGTATTAGGGCAGCTTCGGTCGACGTACGTACCCAGAACCACCCGGACAGAAGATCACCTTAAAGTCATGGTGGAGCCGCTCGCTGTGGTTGTGAAGGAGAGCGTGATCGCTGGAGTGGGGCAGCAGTGTCTGAAGTGACCGTGTTATCCGCGCTGTCCGTGCTGAAGTTGCCCGGTAACGCCGTGATGACGGAGCGCGCGCGCCCTGCGGCTTCGACCGCCTCGAACTGGCTCGCCAACGCTTGTGGAGGAAGTGAGGTAGGTTACGGGAAATGAGATCATTGGAGAAGCGTGTAAAGAGCGAGTGGGAGTCACGTTTTGGTATCAAGAATGGCTCGACTCGTTATGTAGTTATCGACAAGGCGCATATAACATAGTGTCCTTATAACCCTGTACTTAGACTGTGACTCATATTAACTGAAGGGCTGACCTAGAGCACTCTATAGTGTTGACATATAGGATGGGTGCAGGTGTTATGGCACATATGGTAGAGTATGCCCCAGGAAGCTCTTCGTTTATTCAACGTCTCACTAAAATATACACTAACTGGCCACTTTATTATGAACACCTATCTACACTCAGCGTCCATTTTATCAGTTGCACTTACCATGTAGGGGGACTCTGTAGTTCACATTCTGCATTCTTAGTTTACTCCATTTAGCCCTAAGTACTGAGCATCTCTGCTAGAAAAAAACAGCAAAGCTGCTCACCAGCAAAATCAGCATATGCTGTTCTTTAGATGCTGGTATGCTGATCTATGGTCTGTTCACATTTCTTTATTCATTTAGTCATTTGTACATATTCAAGCCACCCCCTCCCACTAAGCCCCATGCATCAGGGGACAGGACAATCACTGAGTAGGTAATATTTGGATGGTAGATAAGTCTCAGTACTGCAGTGACACTGACATGGTTGTTATATTACTAGGCCTATGTGTTGTGTTGGTATGAGTGGACCAGACACAGCAGTGTTTACTTACTGTTCACTGTATTAGACACACCCACCTTATTGGCCCACCTTTTAGATGTTAGAGATGATAGATAATAAACTGTAGTACAGTTTGTGTTAGTCATCCTCTAGTCCTTCATCAGTAGTCAGTTTCTGACCACAGGATGCTGTTAACTGGATAGTTTAGATTGGTGGTCTATTCTCAGACCACCAGTGACACTGTTGTTTAAAAACTCCAGCAACACTGCTGGGTGTGATCATACTAACATGTCACTACAATGTTAGTGTCACTGCAGTTCTCAGAATGAATCACCGCTCAGTACCTGCTCAGTGGCGGTCCTGCAGAGTAAAGGAGACTGACAAATTATGCAAGGAAGCTGTATATCCATTTGTAACAAGTTTAGGATATAACAAGTTTTTGAAGCTAATAACAACAGGTCACATATAAGAAAACACACTTTTATTTCTCGAATAAAGGTGGTGTTAATCATCATATAATATTGATATTTCTTGTATGTGTAAAGCTCTCTCCCAAAAAGAAGATTCTTAAAAGTGGTCTCTGATGTGTTTTGGAACTAAACCGTTCAATTGTAGAATAACAAAGTGCATCTACCGTTCACCCCTGGCCAAATTACGTCAGTTTGCATTTCTTGAAGTAGTTCATGGTGGATTTTGAAGTATGTTTTGGATCATTATCTTGTTGTAGAAGCCCACCTCTTTATAGCTTCTGTTTCTTGACTGACTGTCACATTTCCTGTGCCAGTAGCTACCACACAAACCAAAAACATGATAGATAAAGCCGCACGCTTAACAGTTGGCTGCTGTTTTTTTTCTTCAAGCATACCTTTGGTGATTGAGGCCAATTAGCTTCATTTTCAGATCTTCAGCTAGCTAACTAGGGGAACCCATGGTTGTTAAGTGTTAGCACAAAGTTTGAAGAGCCAGGGAATTTATTACGCTCAGGCATTGTGACTAGTTGACAATTCCTAGAGACAATTCTGGACCTGCCTAACCTGTCCTAATGAGTCAATTAAGTTCTAACGAGTTAAATTCAGAGACTTCACAATTGGAAGGCTGTCTGAATGTTTGTACATGGCAATGTTATCTTTTTTTTTTCCTGTTATTAAAAAAATAAAGTACATAAGCATTAACATTTGCAGAAAAATGTTGCATAAAGTAGCCAGTGAGTGTACGTCATAGGCCATAAATGATAAATCTATTTTTTAAGTCCTGCTACTTTTGTAACTTGCTTATTTTATTTGTAGTATTTCCTGTTTCTCATTTAAAAAAAAGTGAAATTGGAATAAACCCAAGTTTTCATGAAGTGTCCCTTACAGACCCAAAATGTGTCAGTGGGTAAATACTAAGATAGAACTGAACTTGAAGCTAACAACGAGCTAAACGAGCTTGTGCTTATCCCGACTGGTTCAGTCTTACAGGGAGCTGGGGTAACGTACTCATGAATCCAAAAGAAAAACAAGAACCTTGTTCCGAACTGCAGCTTCAGATGTCCTAATCCTTGCTCCCAGTCTATTGTGCAAACAGAATTCCACCTATTTATACAGACCGGACAGTTTGTTTTTATTTCTCCAAGTCTCAAAGGGGAAATGGATAGACTTCAAGCACCGGCCCCACTGACAAGCTACTCAGTAAAGCCCAGGCAGTGTTTGGATGACATCAGAGAAAGGCTAGGCCATTTACGTCAGAAGTTAAGGTAAAATTTAGTTTTTTTGTTAAAGAACTGATGGCTCAGCATTGCTTTTGTATACATCAAAACTGTACATTAAGCCTAAGAGGTGGTGTTGAAGATCTGTTCCTGCTCCTGTTAAGGGATGAAAAAAGTGAGAGTGCATAAATTATTCAGACACTGTGTACATTAGACAACAGCTTTACAGCTCTGCTGTGTTTGAATTAGAGCTCCTTCCAATTTGGTACCTTATCTTTCACGAGACATGTCCCCACAAGGGGAGAGGAATGTGCTTGACAAACTCTAATCACTACATTGTTCCACTATCGGACTTTCAAGGAAATCTCCGTGGTACTCATCTGTTAGCTAAGACTGACTCGGGCACAATGAGCCCAAGCCACCAAGTCACACAACAAGAATGGCCAAGGCGGAAGACCAGCAAGAAACCTAAGAGCTCCAGGTCGTCTAGTCTCAGTTTTATCAGGGCTTGCTGGGCCTTTTTCAGTCCAGCCTAGATAAAACTGTCCAACTATCAAAATACAGGAAATGACCCACTGAACTATTAGGCCTGCGAAAGGGCGATCCTGTTTTCATTAGGGCAGTTTATGTGACACCTCCCTCCATTTGTCTGTGTTTTAGCTCGATATGGCTTTCAGTGTCATCACATTAATCAGTGGTGTGCCTTGTGAGGCTGACTATAATTCATGTGACGAACAGGGAAGTAATGAAAAGTGTTAGTTACCCTGAGGAAAGAACAGGCCACTAGAGCCACCAGCTAGGCATAGGCTCTTCACCACTGGTGTAAATTAATGGGTGGACCAGGGGGGCCATTCCCCTTCTTCAAATTATGAAAGATAATTCTGGGGGTTGTTGGATGGTCACAAAAAAGCACATGGCCGAGTTGCAAAGAGCTACCCGATATCAATTATTATATAGCCAGAAATAACAGTTTAAAACTCTAATTCAACCCAAAATATGTTGTTGTTTTGTTAAGTTATAATCAGTAATGACAAAAAGAAAGAAGCACTAACCTTCTCTGGAATTGTTTTCAACACTTCCTCAATGCACTAATATTGCCTGTTGACTTATGCCTTAACAGTTAAACTGACTCTCTATACCAGGCTTGTCAAACTGGGGACCTTGTGGGCCAAGGTGCTGCATGTTTACCCTCATCCAATGCTCTGAATTCAGTTCATGAAGGCCTTGCTAAAGGATTTAGCTAAGAGCTGAATCATGTGTGTTTAATTAGGCAGTTTGCTGAAGTCTTCACCTTTTTGGCCCATGAGGACTGTATCCTGAGACGTGTGCTCTATACTGAATATGTACATTGTGCCCATTAAGAATATTGTTATTGTGTTATTATTGATATATAAAGCATGAGATATCAAAATAAGTATAAGCATAGGCATACTTTACACATTTGTATTTGAATTGCTGCAAATAGGCTGTAATGACTTCATTAAAATGAAGGTGCCAAAAGGGTTCTCAGGAGAAATGCCATAGAAGAACCACTTTTGGTTCTGTAAAAAAATCTTTCCACTTGTTTAAGTTTTTGAATGAACTATCCACTGAAAACTTCTATAGTTAACCAAAAGTTCTTCCAAATCTTCACCCAAAAGAACCCTTTTGGCACCTTTGTTTTTTATTTTTTAATAACAGTTGAGGATAACTTTTAGAGTTTCTGGATGAAATCCAATTTTAGTCATGTTGACAATCTCATGATATATGGAAAAGAAGTTTATCAGTCATATAACTCCTTATTCTACATCACTGCACATCACAACAATAAATTACACTCTTTGCTCTCCTTTATTATGCTTCACACTGGATTAAATGCTGATGCTGAAGCATTTATGTAACCAGAACACTGGTGTGAAATCAATCATTTAACAGAGTCTGAAAGCTCTAGTTAGTGTCAGGTGATGCAGTAACTCTCTGCTCCTCCAGGCCACCACTGTTGCAGAAACAGGCATGAAACCTTGACCTATCACACTTTAACCTCTGGTCTGCCATGCGCTCCTGCAGAGGGAACGCCTCTGGGTTTTGTTGGTCTCCGTTCGATGAACTCCATTGTGGAGTGGCCTCTTCAAAGTCCCACTGCGAGAAAGGAAAAAGCAGTGGAGGGTTAAAGGCATTACTGGAATAGCTTTAAGCTCAAGCACATTGACACAAGCACATGAAGCAGTGTGGTGGGTTCCAAGTGCATAACTGTGTCACTTGCTCAGTAACTCGGAAACTGATCCCAAGAATAAATTAACTTGCAGCAAAGAAAACGTGCCAGGTGTCTAGTTCAAGCAAACAGGTAGGTTTAAAAGACCTACCTCCTGGGGATTTTTTTTCTTTTTTTAATATTTCAAGTTTTCAAGTAATAATTCAAGGTCTACTACAAATGCCTGTATTTTGCTGATGATGTTTTGCCATATTTTGAATAAACAGTGACAATTCACTCCTATCAAAATATGATTTAAAAATGAGTTAAATGAAAACATAGGTGTTCTCTGGCCCAATGATTTGTTGAGAATTTTTAATATGGCCTTTTTTAGTGGTTGAGTTTGACACTGACACCCCTGCTCTGAAGTGTAGAAGAGCAGCAATCAGAAAATATGTTCTCCAACCCAGTGTTCCCTGGGTATCAGACAGAAAACAGCTCCCAAAATAGCTGAGTAGGGGGCCAAATCCCCTGCAGACTTCACAGCCATTTTCCACCACTTCCGAAGCAGCAAAGTCCTGCCCTATTCTTTTATCACAGATCTTTCCTAATAGAACAATTGAGACACAAAGCAAGTCTAAAGAGCTCCAGTGCCACGACCCAGCCTATTTGGGCGCTCAGCACTGTTCTCCAGACACAATGGAGGAGAATTTTGGGGCTCTCTTACTGTGTTGAGGTCAAGGCTTGATAGCTTAGAGCCTGGACTCACACAGCCAAACAACGTCATAATTTAATACATAAGTTAATGTTTCAGAGTTTAATGTCACCATGAAAACAACAGATAAGAAGATACCATTCTTTGATCTAATGGAAATTTAAACCTTCAGTTTTTTTTCCTGTGATTTGGTATTTCTGCAGATAGAGTGTTTGAAAATTACACAAGATGGCTTAGCATTACTGCACATGGACTTTTGTCACCCACTGAGAACTGAGTGTCTTAGATACTGTTTATACAAGTGCCTTAGTGACCTTTAGGAAAATATTCAACTAACAGATCATTACTGGATGTCCATTACTGACCTTCTGCTCTGTTTGTATCACATGCACAATTTTAAAACTTACAAAAGGTGAAAGCAAACAAAGAAAAAGAGGCAAAACAAAATGGTCAAGTTCAAACCCTAACCTAGAGTTGTGTAATATCAGTTCACACAAGTTTAAAGGGGTCCTTCTCACCCTGAGCACTGTGTCTGATAGGAAAACAAAAAGTCAAATCAGGCCAGCCTCAGGTTTATTGTTATAGAAGGAGCCACTGAGAACTCCGTTGCCAAAGTTACAGCAGGAGGACTGAACACTGGACTATAACCTACTTCATAGTCCACAGCGGTGAAGAGGTTCACATAGTTTGCTTTTTCCTGTTTAGTGAATAAAACAAAGTTCAATTGTTTTCACCCTGAGCAATTTGCCTTTGTTTTTGAATTAAATTACATCCTCAATGACCTGGCATTCTTAAGAGCAATGTAGAGGGCCAAGAAATGCTTTGAACACACCAGAGCACTCTGACAAAGATTTCCTGTTTTACTTAGGTGTAGGTTCATAAAGTGATACCTGCACCATACTGCCTCATCACATTCCAGTGGTGTAGATACTGGATATCCACTACTAGCATGTACAGTACTGTGTAATGTTTAGAGACCCTTTCTTTATTTAATTTCTAGTCAAATAGCCATTGTGCATAAGATTGTACTTTAATTGATGCATTTTTCAGTGTCAGGAAAAAGCCGAAAGCATATATTTAACAGAAAATTACACAGAAGCCTCTACAACCAAATATAATATCAAAATTTTCAGTATTTTGCACCCTTTAACACGTACAAAGTTAAGTTTTAGAAGTTGGTTGCATTTTCTGCTTCTCAAATTCAAATAATCTCAAACTCATTCAGTGAGGTTGAGGTCTGGATTCAGGGGTGACCAGTCCATTGTTCTGAGAACAGGACTGGCTCCAGCCTTCTGGGGGCCCCAAGCAGGATTTTTTCAGGGGCTTCTTATCTTGTTAGCTGTTGTACTGTAAAAGGCTAACTAATAACAATGATGGCCACAAGCTGTCTATATTATACAAATTTATGACTGGCTGATTTATGTATTGCTGATGATGAGGATGCTCGTTTGGGGTCACAGTTACAGTTTAAATTACAGATAACCTTCTCTGCATTCTCAAACCCAGGCTCTGTCTCATGCAGCATTTCTTGCTTACCCAGCTAACGTTAAGCCTATTTGGATTGAATTCTAATGGCAGTGGTGACAGTGTTGCTTTATTACCATTATAAATGCTTTTTTTCTGTTTTTTCCTTATTTGGTGACTTCTCCTATTTTACATGACTAGCTGTTTATCATAACATGTCGGCCATGCCATGTCATGGCCGACGTTGTTGCAAAGTGGCTTTACAGAAAAATCCGGGTCCAAGCCCCCCATGAGCAAGCCAATGGCAACAGTGGCAAGGTAAAAACTTCCTAAGAGGAAGAAACCTTGAAAGAAACCAAGACTTAAAAGGGGAACCCATCCTCTTTTGGTCGACACCAGATAGCAAACAATAACAAAAGAGCAATAAGAGTTTTAACATTAGTATAAAATATTAAAATACAGAAAAGGGGAAGAGCAGGTGAAGCAATGGCTATTATTAAATAGTCTGAATCTGTACAGCAGCGGCAGCATCAACAGGAGGGTCAGTTCATGCAGGTGAGGTTTGCACAAGATTGTACAGCAGGAAGCTCCATGGTGGTCAGACTGGTCCAGGAGACAGGTGAGCAGTGGGCCCCCGATCGAGGCAGATGAAGCAACAGCATCAGACCGCACAGGATGGACTGACAACTGTCCGTTGTTTTGAGAACTCCAGCAGCTTTTTTGTTTAATTTGCAAATTTTCTTCTTTTTAGTTCATTTCTTTTTTTCAGAAATGGCTTCTACACAGCCTTTCAGACCCATAGCGTCGAGTTGTCCTCTCCCTGAAGTATGGACCAAAACACCTGTGGATTTTTTTCAGCTCTTAAGTGTGGAGCTTGATTTTCTCCGATCTCTCAAAGAAGAAAGCTTTAAGTACTATTTTTCTGACAGTGACAGTTTTGGTGGTCCTCCAGGTCTTACATGGTTGCATGGAGTACAATTTTCTCTGCATCTTTTAATACTTTTTTTGAACATTTTTGGAAACTGCTGTTTTTTCCCCACTTATTTTCATTTGTCTTTCCCCTTTCTTATGTACATGGATTATCTTATATCTAATCTCTTCAAAAATATATTTATATTTCTTAAAAAATGAATAACTTATACTTAATGGTTATTTAAACTGGACATTAAATAAATCAGTGGTGGTCTTTGACTTTTGCACAATTCTGTACAAATCACAGTGTTATCATATAGAAATAATATTGGCTAATTCTAATAATATAGATTAATGACCTTTCTGAACGCTTCACATCCTTAATAGTGGCAGAGATATAAAACCTTTAGTTAGGATACTTCTCTGTCCTTCCAAACACTTTACTGCCTCCTATTGGCAGACAGTATTTTGACAGTTGGTGAACTGCAACATGTTCAGCTACAATACACTTCATCCAAAAAAAAGCTGCTAACCTCTAGTTCAGAGCTGATAGAAGAAGAGTCTGTAGTGCTGCCTGAAGAATAACACTCATCCACTCTGACCACCTTCACAGACCTCTTCAGAGGCTGGCTATCTGCTGAGCCCTCCCGAGTGATCGTCACCTCTTTCAGACACACCTACAGAACAAGGCAGAGACGAGTTTTCCGAAAGCGTGTCTGGACAAGGATATAATACCATCTATGAACAAAGCATCAAAGCATTTCCTAAAACAACTGTTCCCCCCATTGAGCAACTAAGAGTACATGATCTGGGGCCAAATGATTTAAAGGATCCAGGGAATTTAAAGGGAATTTCACCAAGTTGTTTTTAAATCAAGGTGTTTGAAGTAAATTGCAAACAATGTTAAACTTTCAAACTGTACCAATCACTTCCCAGTCTATACGGTCCATATTTCTAAATTACACTGCAAAAACCGACCTTTTTGAATTCATTGTTACTGTGATGTCATGAGACTCATTTACATATATTCAGCCTACAGCAGTTAGCCGTGCCCATTCACACTGAAGTTCTAAGCAGTGTTTTTGCTCTGAGTGCTTTCTGAATGAAAGACAATACAGGACAGCCAATCACAACAGAACTTATTTATCTCAAATAAATGACCATTTTTGCTACATAAAGCTGAACAAATGTTATAAATAAACCGTAAGAGGGAAAAATAAAATAAAATGATATAAAAAAAAAACAAGAATAAACACAGTATAGCATGTTTCCCCATTGGGGCATAAATAATGTTTAAATTTTATGACTGATCTGGAGGCTCCGTCACATGAGAACAGAATACAGACCTTTCGAACAGGCTGTATGTTAACATCCATGTAATGTCCCCTCTCTGTCATTTTCGGGCAGCTGCTCTTCCGTGTGGGAAGATGGTGCTTTCTGTCTTTGGGCTGATGCTGGCCAGAAGTAGGCCTATGGGATCTGCCCAAAAGGGACACAGCGTCTGAATCTAGAGGCCGAACAAGGTGATGCTTATAATGTATTCTGTAACAAGAGATAATCAGAATCTTAAAAGGTAAAAGTTAAGGTAAAGTAGGAGTCGACACCTTGTGCATTTTGGAACTTAATCGGGTGAGCTTTCCCTCATCAGCCAGGTCAGGTGTTTTACAGTAAAGAACACACAAAAATATGCATGGTGTCCCCAGAAAAGACTTTGTAAAACACTGGTGTGTGACAAGAGAAGAGGTGCATCTACAGGTGCTTTAGAAAAAAAAAAACAAGGATACAGCAACGTCCAAAATGGCACAGCAGGCTCCTGAGAGGATCCACGGCAGGGCTCTGACAATGGACTCCAGTCGTGTGTCATAAATGAGTATGGCAGAGGCATAAAAGGCACCAGCCAAAGTACTCAAAACCCTTGAGGACACGTGCAGTGGATTACTCATCTCTCCTCTGCTCTACAAGGTGCAAATTACACACAGTAAATCCAAACAAAGAGGTAAGGTAGATTTGAATTCAAATGTGTAACGTTTTATGCTGATGAGTTTCACAAGGCAAGATATGAAAAATAGTGTTTGAAGAGAGAGGACTGGTTATGCTTATGCAGGTTACTCACAGCTTTAAGGAAAAAGGGAAACCTGGAGGTCCAGCTGATCACAAAGGACAGGAGACCAAGCACATAACCAAGGAGTTCAATATGGTCCTATTCTCAGAGACAAAAGCAAACCACAACTGTTTGGCTAGAGGTTTACGATCCTCGTGCTTTGCATGAGATCTGTTTTGCATATCTGTCAAAAAGGTTACACATGCCTCTAAAGAAACATACTGCTGTGGAAGGAGCTTTCACTCACATGCAGGAAGATGCTCAGTAGCCTCCTGCTGGTCGGAGATGTGCTGGTGAGTGGCTGGCTGTGGTGTGCAACTTTGCCAAGGTGAACATATCCTCCCATTCCAAACAGCAGGCACACAGCAAGAGAGTTCTGCCTCCTTCTTCTACTTATCATTCTCACTCTCTTTCCTTGAACAAGACAGAAACCTTGACTTTTGGGCTCCAGATATAGAATTTATTTTAGTATTTTTTTAGTAATATATTTGTCATTTTAATGCAATACTTATTAGTGAAGGAACATTGAAAGAGTAAGTTGTGTTGAGCTCACCAGTTTTTGAATGGTGCCACCAACAAAAAGGAAAAACGACTGAGATTAACAGAAACACGTCCAACGTTGCCATAAAGAAAGCCATTATAATCTACAACAGAAATTAGGATGAGCCGTTTTATAAAGACAGGGACACTATTTTGTGCTTGCATGTAAAAAAAAAGATATTATAGAAATGTGTTTTCTTGGTCTCACCTGAAGGGGTAACTGGTGAGAGAGAACTGATCCAGCAGCATTACATAGGTCTCCTATTAAACAATAGAGGCCACTGGCTACAGTGCTGCCTGTATTACAAGCTCTTAATTTACAGCTGTGGCACAAAAGTCTGCGACAAGAAGGCAACAGAACTCAGATAAGACCAGGATCATAGGTGGGCACAGTAACATAAACCCATATGTTACCCATAAACCCATGTAACTCAGTAAAACGATGACTTAAGTACTTGAGTACTTACAAATGAATAATTAATAAATAAGTGAAATTATAATAATAAAAACATTTCAGTACAACTACAAAAGTACCAGGTCAAAAAAACTACTTAAAGGGGAATTCCATTGATTTTTTTTTTTTTAAATGACTGCATAATTAAATGGATAAGATGTAAACAGTCATTAAGAATGGTCGGTTGTGATATGCTCCATTCTAGAGAAACTTGCCAAGTCAAAAATGTTCAGTGGTGGTGATTGGAACCAGCTGTCCACCTCTGAAAGTTAATACATGAACTGATTATGAATACACAGGCTGATGCCTGAGAGTTTGTTTTACAATAGTTTTGAGAAGGTTGTGGTGTAACTGTCTAACATAATTTTTAACAGCCATTCATGGGGGACAGGTACATGCAGGGGTTTTTGTGAGGCAATATAGTGAGGAGAAAATTATTTTTTATGGTGCTTTCTGTCTTTGGGGTGATGCTGGCCAGAAGAAGCCCTATGGGATCTGCCCAAAAGGGACACAGCGTCTGAATCGAGAGGCCGAACAAGGTGACACTTCTAACGTATTCTGTAACAAGATGATCAGAATCTTAGAAGCTAAAAGTTAAGGTAAAGTAGGAGTCGACACTATATTTTACCACTAAAAACATTACATGTAGAAAATCTGAAGATGTGTAGGCCCACTGGTTGCTTTGGACTGGAAATAAAATGGTTACATTAGCAGTGTAGACATGGTGACCCCTGGTTTCTATCATCACCACCACTGTGACGAAATCATAGTTGGTAAGTTTCTCTACAATGAGCTATTTCACATCAAACCACTCTGAATTACTTTGTTTACATATCAACAATTGAATTATACAGAAATTAGGTGAAGTTACTGACTAACTTCTAAAACTACAATGGAACAACAATGCTTCCAGCATCTATCAGCACAGGAACTGAAGTCTGTAAGGCTCTTTGCTCGTTTTTAATGCACTCTGGGTCTCAAATAAACTGATATACACCTTAAAAGTCAGAGGTTTAATTAACCATAAAGCAGTAAAGATGCTGTCACCACAGTAATATAATGAAGTTATATGAAATTATTGAACATTAGGACTAAATGGAGTAAAAATTTAATTTTACTTAAAGGCATTTAACTGAGTAAATGCAATTACCAAGACTGGATACCGAATGGCTCCCCTACTCGACACATCGTGCATTATCTATGTATAAATCAGTTTAATGGCGTGTACTGCATGATTTAGAGAAAGCTATGGAGCCGTTTCAGATTAATTTCGGGATACATACACAAAGATCGACGAGACTTTTTTAAAATATATGGAAAATGTGAGCCGCTAAGCGTGCTGACCATACTTACACGCAGTACGACATTACCAGTGATAACACAGACAAGACGCCGAGAGCTCCTGAGACACAGCCGCTGTGTCCAGTGTGAAAGCAGCTGGAGACGTCTTCCCACCAGGAGAGAGGGTCTAAGAATTTTGTTTTATCCATCACTGTCAAAGAATAACACTGACATATCTGAACAAAAGAAGTTAGAAAAAAGGCAATTTCACAACACCAGCAGCAGATAAACGTAGGATGTGTTGGAAGAGTCACGTGATTCTTCAGGTAAATTCGTTGAGGGCAAAGGTCACGTGACTTTGCAGGTGCCTTTGGGAGGAAAATGGTCTACCCTTACATCGATGGCGGAGGCCAAGTAACTTAATACTAAGGCTGTGTTCTAAATAGCATTCTGTGTACCGTATACCGCATCAGTATAGACTCTATACAGCACGCTGCTCTTCGTCAGTATTAAAATGCACAGGATCCAGTAACTTATACAACTTAGCCCGAGTTCCGTACTACAGGGAAGGGGCGTAACTAGCCTGCCAACATCAGGGACTGAGCCAATCAGACCAGCTCAAGACCCGCCCCATTCCCCCCGCCCTCCAATCACTGCTTAGCAACCGTTGCTAGCCGCCTTTCAGCGTGTCCGTTTATATTTTGGTCGAGAGATGTGCTTGTGTGACTTTCAAAGTTCCCCACACAGCGACAGAGGACAGGATGTTTTTCCTCATCTACAAAGCCACAAATAAACTTTAAAAAGTGTCAGCTTTGAATTCGTCTGTGTGGTAAACCTGTGTGGTTTCCAGATACGCCTGTTTTCCTCCGTTTGCGAGTCATTTCGTTTTCGTTACACTCGTACTTGGTAATATCAGCCAGTTTGACTGTACATAAGCTGTGTGACTCCACACACGAGTCCGAAAGGCCGGCGCTGAGCGGACTGTTTGGCCGAGACCAACATCAGCTAGTAAGTAACTGTAAAACCGTGTTGCATTTTGGGATGCAGTATTTCACGGAGATAACTCTGGCTCTGGCTCTGGAAAATTTGCCGGAGCAGTACGTCATCCGGGTATTTTTGCCTTACTGGAGAAATTTATGTTAGTCCTGTACTGCATACTACTTAATACTTTTGGGCACAAGCAGTACGTAATAGGCTATTTTGAGCACCACCGGCTAATAAATTGGCACCCACACTTTTTAAAGTGTTTTGTACGGAGCCCCTAAGGTGACGGTGGCTTGGCCACAAATGAATATATTGAGGCCACAAATGACTGTATTAAGGTTACAATTTGAGGCCACTAAATGATGAGTCCACAGTTTACTATATTAAGACCATGAGTTACTATAGTGAGGCCACAAATTACCGTAGTAAGGCCAGAATTCACTATACTGAGGCCAGTAAAGACGATGTTGTGGCCAGAAATTACTATATTAAGGCCATGAATTACTACATTGAGGCCACAATGTTATATTGAGGCCATGTATTACTACACTGTACATTGAGGCCACAATTTTCTATATTCAGGCCATGAGTTACTATCTTGAGGCCATGAATTGTAATATTGAGACCATGAATTATTATATTGAGCCCACAAGTTAAGTAGGCCTATATTAATCTGTGGCCACGCCTTTTTAAAATATAATCATCATGTAACCTTAGGGACTCTGCAGCTGCCGGGAATTAGGGACATAAAAGGGGAATTTCTTATATTTCTACATGAAATAAAGGGTTCACTGGTAAAGGCAGCGATAATGGTGCCAACTCAGACCATTTGAATACATAAAAAGTTTTACATGATTAAATAGTTCTATTCCATGATGGAAAATCTATTGTATAAGGTTCTTTAAAGGGCCTGGGTTCCACCAAAAAGGGTTTTGCTATTGTAATAACTCATCTTTTTTGCCAAGCACTGCTGTGTCTGATCCACTCAGACCAGCGCAACACACACTAACACACCACCACCACATCAGTGTTACTCCAGTGCTGAGAATGATCCACAACCCAAATAGTAGCTGCTCTGTGAGGGTCCATGGGGGTCCTGACCACTGAAGAACAGGGTAAAAGGTGGCTAACAAAGTATGCAGAGGAACAGATGGACTACAGTCTGTAATTGTAGAACTACAGAGTGCACCTATATAGTAAGTGGAGCTGATAAAATGGACAATAAGCGTAGAAATAATGAGGCGGTCAAAATGTTATGCCTGATCGGTGTATACTACAACGTGCAGTAAAGAAACATTTTCTCAGCTTTACACTTTAAAAAAATGATCGAAAAGAACATGACACTTAAACACACTTGAATGCATAAAAAGATATTTGAGATATATAGCCCAAATATGCAACAAAATAACAACAGAATCATTTTAGGCATATCAAGAAAGGTTTAATTTATTATAAAGCTGGCCTAATGGCTTTATGTGCTACCAACTTGTTTTCAGCCAAAACTTACTGACATTTTCAATACACAAATCACATTGCATTATCAAACAAATGCAACTTTAGAAACTGTTTTCATGGTGGAATGATCAGCAGCAATCATCACATATACAGAAAAAATATTGAGCTTTGCATTTGAAGAAGTAAAATATATTCCCCATCATCTGTGACAGGCTCAAATATGATCTATGTCAGTGTCTCCTTTATTGAAGTCCCAAATTTATGCTGGACACAGAGGCATTCAGGCGTCCAGGTGCTTATTGAGTCTTCTTACTTTCTCCTTCTTGTTCCTATTGCCATGCTTTTTCCAGGGCTTTCCAACTTGCTGTTCTGAGTCAACTTTTTTCCCCTGCCCCACAGGGCCGGTGCCAGGCCTGTAGCCCATGACCATCTGCACTCCCTTGGTTAGTGCCCGTACGTTCTCCTGAGAGAGATAAAACAGCACTTTAAGCATTGAGAGTTGTGTGAACAATTAGGAATGTAATGAAAGGGCACTTTGAGATGACAGATTTGTTCTGCCATTGTTAGCGTAGAGAAGGAGAGAGTGGTGCATCACACCTTCAGGATCACACCACTCGAATTTGCCGTTTTGCTTTGCTGCAGAGCTCCAAGTTCAATCAGATTTAACTCTGACCTAGTTTGCCACTGACCTTTCCAAAGTGCAGCCAATAAGACAAATGCCCAGTCTAAACCTACAGACTTGCAGACAAGAGGATGTAACATGCACATGTATGTACCTAGTCCATAGGGCCGTAGAGCTGTCTAATTCTGCTATTCATCTAGGCTGCAGAGCAGGCTTTTCTGTGAACTTCCAGAGTGGCTGCTTTGGATGCTGGCTTAAGCAGACTTTGCTTGTGTAGTTACCCAAAATTTGTAGCAGAGTGCACGTGATGAAAAATGAAATGGGAGGAGCTCCAAAAAAAATAAATCAATAAAAACTACATATTTTAGACAAACAAAATTTGTATACAAACTATCAATATCAACCATGACGGTGAATTGAACTGAACTGCCCTCATTATTAGTGTTTCTAATGAGAAATTTAGAAACATTAGCCCATTGAGCACTTCACAGAACATCAGACATTGGACCTACATTCTCTGTGAGACTCGAGACCACAGAGCCAGAGTCCAGAGATTTAGACTGGGCAAAATTGTTGTGTAAGATGTATGACATATGACCTCATTCTTACGCAGGGTCTTCGTATTGTCAAAAATTGACAGCCAGAGCCTTTTTTGCTTTAAAACTGAGATACAACATAATGTAAACATGTCATGTTTTGCAAAACTCCACACAAACACACTGTGTCAGGTGGATGGTTTTCAAAATTGTGCTGATCTGGCTCAGCAATGTGCACCCAGCCTTGTGGTGAACAAATGATCTAATGCTTAGACGCTTTTGAAGCTTATGATTTGAAAGTGCCCCAAATGCTCAAGAAAGTAGGAAAATGTTAGTGAGCCAACAAATCAAACTCAAGAAGAAAAGGTGTGAACAGTGGTGCCTCACCTGATGAAAGAAGTTTTTATCAACAGAGTTCTCAATCCGTTTGACTTTGGAAGGGTTGACAGCATGAATGCAAGGATCACCCTTGTTGTCTTGATTCGCAAACTTCAAGTGCTGAGGCTGGAAATCTTTAGCGTTGATGTGAGGGGGAGGGTGACAATAGAGCAGCTTTCCCTGTTGAGGTGCAAGAGCAAGTACAAAAACCATATTTATTTATTTATTTATTTATTTATTTCATGTGGTTGCTACATTTCATTGAAGGTGTTTCATGTTCACAACCACATAGCTGAAAGTGGCAGCAAAATAAATACTTACACTGACGTAATCTTTCAGAACATAGCGGGCAGATCTAGACTGGTCTGGCTGGCCGTGTGCTGTCATAAAGCCCCTCATATCTGAAGAGACCATAAACCACATTTCCAAGTTAAATCATAGCCTACTTAAGTAATGACATTATGGTCAGCTTCATAATATAACAACTGGAAGCCTACATCCATAAGCCATTAGCAGCTCCTCAGAGGTGGGTGGGCGGTCAGGGTCCTCGTCTTCTCTTGGTCTAATAATGTTGATGCCATAAGTTCCCTCCAGCACAGCTCGTGGAATTGTCTGACAAACGTATTTGTGTTAAGGGTTTTACTTTGGTACTTTGGCATCACTTTAAGAATATGTTACTGTATGTAATATGACTGTACTTATATTTCTCATATATGACTTCAGACATTCCAGTAATGATATATGGGTGAATGCAATTATGGAGTCAGATATTGAGAGGATATGAGAGAAATAGCTGGGACATGGTCTCGCATCTGGTCGATGGGGAGAATCCCACTGCAGATCATCTCAGCTTTGGTGGACACAAAGGAAGGCATGACCAGGCCAGGGCAGTCACAAAGGCAGAGACCATGTTCAACAAACAGAGTCTGCAACACATACACACAAATGTTTAACACACAAATGTTTACCTGATACAATCAGCTGTGCAATAGAACTTAAAATCTGAACTCAACGGGACCCAACAATTCATAACAGGCTTTGGGTTGGGTATAGACAATGTTTTTTAAAAAGGGCCCATATCATATATTCTTCTTGCATTTTAGTGTTCCTCTGAATTCCACTTAGAATGTTTTGTGTGGGATAATGTACCAAAAAGTCTCCACCCTTTTCTCACCTGACCACTTTCCAACCTTCTTTAATCAATTAGAACTAAACATACTGTTTTTGTTACTGTACATTTAATATATGTGATATACACCACCCAGCCACTTCACCTTGTATCTACACTCTTTGTCCAATTTATCAGCTTGATGTACTATACAGGTGCACTTTGTAGTTTTACAACTACTACAGTCTATCTGTTTCTGTGCATAATTTTTTAGCCCACTTTTTTTTTTATCCTGTTCTTCGATGGTCAGGACCACCACAGAGCAGGTACTATGTGAGTGGTGGATCAAGAACTCCAGCAGCACTGCTGTATCTGATCCACTTGTACCAGCACAACACACACTAACACACCACCACGCCAGTGTCACTGCAGTGTTGAGAATGATCTACCACCCAATCTGCTCTGCAA